CTGCAGTTACCAGATTATATATTATTTCTGGATATTTCAACTCTCTCGATTAAATGTTTGCTTATTTGTTGATTCTGTTTCAATTTAATGTTTCCTCGACGAGAAGGCTGGGGATGCAAGTTGCTTAATTATTCATTGTTTCTTTACGAGATTCTTTGTACTTTCTGTGTTGATTTCATATTTCCCTTAACAGTTCAAGCTGCGTATATGAATTTAGAAAATACGGTCCTGAACGGCACTTTTCTTCACATCTGATTTTCCTTCTGCATCGTTCCGGAATGTTACTGCTCTGCAATAGCCGGATTATGCTTTGCCGAGATATTCTACTGATTTGCAGTAGCTGGATACCGGAGTTGCTTAAGTATTAGTTGATTATAAGTTGCTCCTAGCTCTCTACGTTGACTTGCATAACATTTTCTTCCGTCATTTCAGTTTGCTTGTTTAGTTCAGAAAATATGGTCCTAATTGGCACTTCTCTTCGTATTTGATTTTCTATCGGCATCGTGGATTGTGCTTTTCCTAGGTATTGTAATTTTCACTATGAGTTCTTGTTTATTTGTTGATTCGGTTTAAATGTATATTTTCAGGTCGAGGATACCGAGCGGGGGTTTGGATAGCAGTGTTTTCTCCTGCGAAGTTCAAGTATGTGACATATTCTTATCCCATAATTTAGTATACAAAAAAACTTGTTATGTGCACCTTCTAATGTAAAAATTAAGTTATAATGTTCGTCTTTAGAATTTTTAGCTTTAAATCAATGATAATGATCTCGTTATGATGGTGAAAATTGTTACAAGTAGTAAAAGAACTCTGTTTCTTTGTGGCAGCTCATCAGCCTGTCCTAGTTCAAATAATAGGGTTCAAACTCCATTCATCAGTCTGTCATAGTTCAGGATTTAACTAGTAACATCAACTTTGACGTGAATGTCAAATATATGCCTTTATAATGCTTGAAATGAAATACTGATACGAATTTCTACTCCAAACAATCTATTTTCAGTTCAATTATGCAAAGTACTCAAATCCAAACTAAGTTGAACAAACTCCTTGTATTTCCTTTCATTTTATTGTGGGGAAGTTTTTATAGAGGACACTAAAAGAAGTCGATAATGAACCACAGTCCTAGAACTTCTTATCCTAATCTGATTTCCTTTAGTGACCTTAAAACTATATACAATGTCAATTAATTGGCTACACATTGCTAACTTGTGTTAACAAATGTCTTCAAAATTGACACTCCTATTTGCTGCCAACATATGTGAGAAAAATACGTGTTCTATAGTTGTTAACAAGATTTAAGTAGCTTAGCTGCAGAACAATGGAGTTCTTTTCATTTTTGCAGACGACAGTAACCTGGGCAAGCGGGTACGATAAAAATGAAGCTATTTCTTTCGTTAAATAGGGTCTAGAAGGAGAGATACAGACGAAATCTCCAGCATTTAGTAGGAACAGCATATGTGGTATGATTACTTCTAGCAACTCATCAGTCTAGACTGCACCTTCTTGTTTAACAACTTAATATTATTGGAAAAAAAAAAATACAAGCTGTTAGTTGAAACTGTTTAGTCCTTATTTTTAAACCTTGATTGGGAGACTGTTTCAAAAAGGTTCAACTGATAACATCCGCTTGTATGTGTGTATTTACTGTTCACTTGCAGTTTGATTTTAGTTCATTTTTAATACCAAACAGTTGCAAATAACGCAAGTTCATCAGAGAATTAATTTGTCATGATCGACCCATTAGATCACCTTGTTGTAAGTCACTCTAGGTATCTATGTTGCTGCCACGTCAAAAAATTTCTGCTTCCATTCTGTAATTTACTTAAAACCAGAGGCTATGCCTTATTAGTCAACTTGTCAAAATCTGAATTTCTCATCCTTGTCCTTGAGCTTTCGGCTTACTCCCCTAGAAATGGCAGTTCCATCTAAGTGGCTTCTTAGAGCACTTACAATGGCTTTCTTTCACTATCTCGTTAAGACATGAATATTTACAGTTCTTTTAGAAAGGTAGTTAGACGACTTTTCAGAATGGATCGATGTCTTTCTTCGATTCTAGTCGTGAGATATTTACGCCGCAAAACGTAGTGTGGTTCCTCTTTTATTCTGACAAAACACTGGCTTGACATTCTTTTATGTTTTATTTTCTATTTTTTTTAATATTTAAGATGCACCTGCACGCACTGTTGGTTGGCGTGATATACTAGTTTCTTTAATACTTGTTTCCTACCAAGTTTATGGCCAAACGCTGTTTGTTTCAATCATGCACTCTAACGATTGCCACGTTGGTTTCAGCAGGAACACGTACAGAACCGATCATAGCTTGTTTAATCGGTCATATAATTGGACCAAGAGCCATTCATTCAAGTCATCACCGCGTCCTGGAGAAGAATCATTACAGCGTGTCATTATATTTGGTAATATGGGGAAGGTACCATAAAGTATTTAATTACACTAATTACACTCAATATGAGAATGGAGTCTATAATTCATAAGGAAAATGTTGAAATGGAACTAAGTGAAACTGCTGAACTTCAGTTAATTAACTTAATTCAGTCACCTCTTCGTGGCCTTTGTTTATTTCTTGTATTGACTTGATAATTCTCTATATTCGTGAGAGGATGTTCTACAACTGCTTTCATATTTGAGCTCCTTGAGGGGCAATTAACAATTCAAAGAAAATCGGTTATCATATAAAGCATTGACAAGGAGCATCATTGTTCTGCCATTTCATTTGCCATTGTTTGAATAGTTACTGTAACATACATATAAAAGAACAGAAATAACATCCAAGCCTGAAAATAAGAACTTGAAATTCAATTCCAGGCCGTTCTAGAGTCGCTAACGTACTGCTTGTGGTAATCATGACTTTCAGGGACAACGTGATGGCCCAAATGAGTATAGCAACTATGAGCCTGGCGCATTGGGCACAACCGACTAGCTCATCAAAGAAATAAAACAATATTGACACTGTCTTTCATATCGGAGATCTATTTTTATGCAGATGGGTATCTCACAGAGTGGTAACAAGTACTGCACTGGTGGAGCCCATTGCATCTAGGGTCCCCAACGTAGCTGCAAGGTTATCAATATCAGTGACTCGATTGTTTCTAAGACAGTGGTTTTTGGACCATTTACTTTTATGAATCTTGAGCCTCTCCCATTTCACTCCTGCAGTGGTAACCATGAGCGTGGCTGACCAAATACCGGGTCCTTCTACGCAAACATGGATTCAGGTGGGCTGAGTGTGGAGTCCGCCGGTGGAGACCGTGTTCTATTCTCCTGAACAGAGCAAATTTCTGGTATGTTAAGAATTCTTTTAAGCAATTCCATGAATCTATTCCACTGCTGAGGTTTATATTTTGCTTCATTAATAAACTGTGCACTTGTTTTGCTGGTGGATCCATTCATTTTAGATTACTAAAACTAATGCGTTTTTTGTTTGGGTTTTGAAAAATTATGCTGGCTTCTTGCAATTTCTTTTCTATGGGTTTTATCATATATATATATTACTTTTTAAACATGGTTTGAATTTTTAAACATTTTTAGAAAGTAGAGGTAAGTAACAGAGAAAAAAAAAATCCCATGAGTGGAGTATGTTTATAAACTAAAAATTTGAAAACCAAATGACCATATCAAATAGAGCCTAAAATAGTTGGTTACATTATTATTCTGTCATTTTAGGTGCTGGGCGTCTAATGTCATTTTAGGTGCAGGGCATCTGAATAATTTTAGATGACAAAAAATGACTATAGTTTTGTGAACTTTTTTTACCAAGGATTATCAAAACGAACTAAAACGAACTATAACCCTCGACATTTCTTGCCATCAATAAATTTTTTCATTGTGAATGAAGTTTGTCTAGCCCGTTTTGTAAAACCATATTTGAGCACTTTCCTTCTTTTAATCTCTCTCAGGATTATAAAACCATATTTGAGCACTTTCCTTCTTTTAATCTCTCTCAGGATTACGAGTTGTGAAGCATTTCACCCCTTTTGATCAAGTCGTCCCAAACCATTTTCCAAATCTGTTTTCAAAAATAAAAAATGATTTTGAATCGAGTCAGAATTTGATTCTTAGTTTTCTATTTCAAAGCTTCCAACTTATTAGCCAAAGACCTCATTAACATACAAGGTCTTACAGTTGTGTCTAATGTTTATTTATTAACATTAGTTTTTTTTGTTGTAGATCGGGGCACTGCAAATGGCGCAATTCATGTGGTTGTCCGTGGAGAAAGGAGCCCCGCTTATTCTCCCATTCAACCAAGCAATCCCCAGACGGGAGTCTTCACATACACCACGATTTTGGAATCGTGAAGTCTACAGCATTCAACCGCTCCTCTCTGCCTTTCGGTTTCAAAAACAATCACGGAAAGGAGTATCCATCTACGATAATATACTTTTTTCTTTTACCTTTTCTCGAGGAGAAAAAACTTGGGACGGAAACGGGCCATGTTGGAATTGTAACCCACACCCCTACGTCGGAATTTTTTGGTCACCACGAAAAAAGAATCCACTTTTTAATAATTATAATTATTTTAGGCTAAATTTAGCATTATTTATTATTTATTTATATAAATATTATTATAAAAAATTTAATATAAAAGTTTATGAGAAAATAACTAATTAAACTGCAAGGTCATGGACAAGATTGAGGTCAAGGTGAGAATTCTCCGTCCCTAAAAAAAATACCATTTTTAAAGAAAACTTATAATTAAAATTACAAATACTTTAGGTTAAATTTAGCGTTTTATTATTTTATTTATATAAATATTAATTTAAACAAATTTAATATAAAAAAGTTATGAGAATATAAATAATTAACTAATTATAACTAATCGAACTATCTACGATAATACTCTAGCCTTCTGGTTTTTATTGAAAAGATAATACATGTCTACCCTTCTCTTATCCTACTCCTACACAAGAATTTACTTTCAAAATTGTTTTAATATTATTGTTAAATTTTAAAAAGTAGAAACCAAAGTATTGCAAAAATGGAGATAGAAAATAGGTGATTTAAACATTAAACTCTATTTAGGTTAAGCATAAAAACTGGATCGTTTCACATTTCTCATAACGTACAATATTATATATTAAATCTGATGAAAATCGTAATGTCAAGAATTTTACCTCGAAAAGGAGTCGGAGTGATTGGCCAGCGAGAGATGCACTGACTTCTGAACATGAACCGAGGGGTTGAATACCATGAGTTCCTACAGATACAAATATGGAAATAGTATTTCTCGACATGGTTAACAGAATGCTGCCCCGGTCTCCGCAAGATCTCCCCTTCGCTGTATCAAGGACGAAAGGAGTTTGACAAAAGCCTTCATAAGATAGTAGGCAGCATAACAACCAGAGGCATAAATAATGACCATACTTGCAATAAAGAAATCTTTGGACTATCGACCACTATCCATCCATTTCAGTATCACCATCTTCTCGGTGATCATTTGATGAATTGATGGACGTTAATAGATCATCTACTTTTAAAGGCGAATGGCGAGCCGCATATTGAAACATAACCTGCCACAGTTAGTTTCCTTTAAGGTCTTGGCAGAAAAAACAAATAAAAATAATCAAATAAATGTCAATTAACCTTGGAGTTATGAGAATATAATTTAAACAAATTAGTTAGCCCTCCATAACTTTTTTAATTAGTTAATTATTTATATTCTCATAACTTTTTTATATTAAATTTGATTTGACCCTTTAACTTCGCTATTTAGCATAATTTCTCTAACCTTGGAGTAACTATCTGCAAAGGCTCGAGCCCCATTGACCTTGCCAACATATTGTAAATCTGCCCCCTGAATCCTCCCGTCAACAATGGTCAACCCTCCATCCCCGATTGCAAATCGCAAGAGATTACCTGAAGACAACCCTGACTGAATTTTATCGAAATGTCAGTTTAGATATTTGCCGACAAGGAACTTCAAATGCTGGTAACATATAAAAACAGAAGATTTTTATAATTCTAAAAAAAAAAATTATTGAGAAAAAACTCCGGTAGCATTAACTTAAAAGAAGCTTGAAGTGAGTTAACCCCAAATCTCCCCCAAAATCCTTGCTTTTGATCCTTTCCAACCAATGGAAAAAGAAAAAAGCTAGCTAAAGAGTTTTTTTTTTTTTTTTTTATTTAAAAAAAAAAATCAAACATGAGGATGCAAAAAGAACTCCATAAAATGACAAGCCAGAAGATCACGACCACTACAAAAGTCGCTAAGAACCTGAACCAAAATATCAAAAAAGAGAGTAGAATTACCAGGAGATGTGATTCTAATCACTTAGTGACTGTTTGCGCTTAACACACCACCACGGACAAAGAACTAAAGTGGAAGACTTATTCACAACTTGGTTAGGAAGAAGGAATCTTGATGAGGAAGAGGAAATAAAGAAGGCTCCACACAAAATAGCCTAATTCAAGAAAAGGTACCCTTTTAAAAAGTAAGCTCTTATTCAATATGAAAGATATCTTTGACTCTCTTTCACCAAACAGAAACGCTCCAGGATATAGCACAAAGGAAGACCCAAATATAAGATGGATAACAAAGAGACCACCAAGCCACCATTTACAACTTACTAACTAAACTTATTCACAATCAATTAGAGTCACATAACTAAGAACGTTTATTCCTATTAATATTTAAGCATGTAGTAGTCTCAGAGATATGAAGAACTCAATTCAAATTAAGAAAAGAATCTCCCTTCCCTGCATAAAAAAAAGGTGCCATCCACAGCTACAAATGATGTTTGAAGACATTCTCTCTCCTCACAACAAAGCCCTCCATTAAATAACTACCCATCACCTCTTATCAAAAAAAGAAAAAAAAAGAAAAAAAAAAGTTATCCATCACCTTACATATATTTCTGCTAAGGACGTCAATCACCTCAATTAAAAGGAAAGAGAACATAACATCACTTGTTCGGTACCTCTATCAAAGAATTCCCTCAAAACCATGCCAGAACTATATCACACAAGCAATTTACAGACCAAATTCTCCAATTATAGCCAAGCCGTCCCCAAAAATACCAAAACCAGAATGATCATAAACCTTTTCGAAACTGATCTCCACAAGGGATTTCTTCTCGTACTGATGAACCTCACCAAGAATTTTGTCCCCAACCATTAAACTGCCCCAGTTAGCATAAATAGTATGAGATACGACTTTCCATGACCTCTTGACCAGGTCTTGGGAATGGTTTACAGAGAATGAAGTTGTGGATCTAAAATCCTCGATAGCTGACACGCTTGGCCTCTTACAAGAAATTAAAAAATAAAAAGATAAGCACAAGTTTTCTTTATAGTTGTGTCCACAAGATGCTCCCTAAAAATTAGTAAAAAACTTTGAGCAACGACCATTGGAGACAGAGACTTACAATTCTCAAACCACCATAGAGGAAACCTACGAGTTAAAGGAAGAGCGTTGAGAGTTGTAAGTTTGAGAGAGAGAAACTCCTTAAAGGAAGAGTGTTGTAAGTTGTAAGTTTGTAACCACATATTCTCAAACTTTAAACAGGCCGAGTCTCTATCTTACCACCCTAGAACAAAGGTTAATAGGCTAGTACTAAAAAAGTAGTTTTGGAAATGAATGATTGTATAAACCCTTGAAACAGGTCTAGAGTACTACTACAACTTATCCTGTCTACTATAATTCTCACGAGATGAGGTAAAAAGAGTCAATTCTCTCTAAGTGGGGGTAAAGGTCGTTAATGCTCACTAGGTGGGTAAAAAGGGCCACAATTCCTGCCACAATTCCCGTAAACTGAAGGCAATATTGGTATAATTTAGTAACAGGCTTTATGGCATGTCAGTATTCCTGTTAACATGCTCTTTAATATTACCTGTTAATAAAAACCATCGAGATTATTTTTCAAAAAATCAATGTCATGCAAACCACCTCATATCACAGGAGCTAACTAGCTAATTACTTTTTTCTTTTCCTGTTCCAAACAAAAAGATCTAATTGTTAGAAGATGCAGATATCAAGCAACAGCTTCTTCAGTTAACAGAATCCCAAATAACAACTTCAAGACTACAATATGGTGAAATAGGCACCACGCCAAATTACACACCAGACATACAAAGGCACAAAAGAGAAAATAAAAAGAAATGAAAATCACAGACCAGATTTCCATGCAAAATGTAGTCTAAGTAAACAACATGTAATACACAAAATAAATTCAAAACTAATGACACCATAGAAAGGGTTAAATTTAGAACAAAAACCTTTTCGATAAAATTGCCATCTAAGCATCCAAAGTCCAATGGAGGATCATCTGATGTAGTCACCTTTCCATCATCTTGTAGCTCCAAAACCACCTGATTATTGAAACAAAGCAGAAGAAGCATTATAAACTATATGAGAAAAGAGAGTAGGTCCATGGCATGGATCACAAAATGGATCGTTTTCATCAATTGCGTTGTGTCAGCAGAATTTGTAAAATAAGAAAAAGATAGGGAAAAAAGAAAAGAATTACAGTCATATAGTTCATTTGTTTTAAAAAGAGGAACAGGAAGTGTAGAGAAAAAGTGCCTGCTGTTGGCTTGGGACTTGTCCATTACTATCTGTGTCAATAACATATCGACTGCAACTCTCATCCTTCCAGACCAATGCAAGTGGTGTATTTCCTGGCTGGTAATGGGAATGCCTAACACAACGTAACTTCTTAGTACAAGATCAACGAAGATATAACTTGTAAGAATACAAATTCATGAAATGAAAGAAAGAACTTAATGAGACGCACAGTGCATATTAATTATCAAGCATGAATATCATGAGATTATAACTTCAAAATTGTTAAAAACATATAACTCTGCAGATACATAAGGAGTGTTCCGCACGTTGTTCATAATATTTCAATAAGAGACAACAGAGGTTCTCAACTAAATGAAAAATAACATGTGAAATAAATTCAAAATAAATCCACGTGTAAAAGGAGGAGGAGAATTCAAAGTCTTAAATCCTTTCTTGATGGTAAACCTTACTTGTTGTAAAATAATAGGCCATCCTTGATATAAGGTGCCGCTCCAGTATAAGCAGCATAAAAACCATTTTGATCGCACGTATATACAGGAACAAGGCTGAATTTATATTTGTGATAGTATGAAGGTGGCTCAGAAGCACCAGATTCAACAAGCTTGGAATTGAGCCAGAAGAACCGAAACTCGGCTGTGCAATCGTAAAGAGAATATCCTCGCCAACAAATCATATCAATGACGTAGTAAGTTTGATCCATCTGCATGACATTCGAACTTCTACTTGTCAGTAAAAAATTTGGCCGACAGAATGGCATAAGAAATATGAGAAACTTACTTCATGAAATATACAATCCAGGATAGAATATGATTGACCGGATCCAGAGGCATCTCTTCTCCTTGCTCCGTTGGGTAGAGCAGAAGGAAAACGATGCAGAATTGATCCATTTCGTAGCCTACTGATAGTTGTGCCATTGGAAGAAACAACAAAGCACCGTTTCCCGGAAGGCCTTGCAAATACGTACCTACAAGAATCCAAAGCATCGCAGAAACGTCACTCTCACCTTGGATCATTCCATGCAAATTTACAGAAAGATGAAGATATTCTCTCTCTCTTTTTCCTTTTCAGAATACTTATTGACATCAGAATAAGACATTTAGCGAGAAGTATCGTCCAAATTTCGGTGGCGCCTTTCAATTAGCCAAGCACGAGACGTGAATGAGAAAAAGGCAACCGAATACAATTGAATTTGAATGCGAACACGCGACTAGGAGAAAAAATCAGAGAGTGCAAGACTAATAGAAAGGCAACGATGATAAGATGATGTGTCGAGTAAAAAGGAACAAGATCTAAGTCCGAGTAGTAGTTGAAGAAAACGCAAACATAAATAGTTAACTGAATACTAGTAACTGAGAAATGGAAGGAATTATAACCAGTCTTCGCTAAGTCGATCAGGAACATCTATCATCCATTCAGGAAGTAACAGTTGCCTCGAAAACCACTTACGAGCCTCTGAACCTTTGAGCTTCGAAGCCTGGCGAACATCGAACTCCTTCAGAGAAGGCTCGTTAAATTCACTCTGCGATCTAAGCACCGGCGAGCATTCCGTTTCGGAATCGAGTTCATTTAGCTCAACCTCCAACACCGACTCAGAGGTACTAGGCTCGTTGAACGTGGAAGAGAGGGAGAGGAGCGTGGAGGCTAAGGAACGTGCTTGTTGCTGAGCGTCGCGACGATTCTGCTGTTGCCGTTGTAAAGAAAGCTCCCGCCGCTTCTGCTGGTCGGAGATCGCGGGGCGTTTGTGAGGACGGCGAATGTCATGCGGTGCCATCTTCGCGCAATTCGGTTTTGGTTCGAAATATGAATGTGCGGTCTCCAAATCGGTTCGGCCTCGAAGCTCGCCCGCCGCGGCAATATCATGGAAGAAGAAATTCAGTAGTTGGGTTTATATAATCTTGGGCCCTCAACATTAATGGGCTTTTGAGCCCAGTACCGAATGACCGAGTTTAATATTAATTCCAATAAATAAATTAAAAAAAAAAATACCGAGTTTATATTAATTTTATTTTCACCACTATATTTCTTTTTTCCTTTCCCTTGTGTGGAAGATCCTTACTATTTTTTAAAAAATATTTTTAATAATAGAATTTGATGTATTAAAAGAAAAGTCAATGTAAAATAAGTATTGAAATATTGAGTAAGAAGGCGGGTAGGTGGGATGTGGAGGCTTTGGGGAATGCATTCAAACTTGCCTTTTTAACTACAATTATATTTAGATTAACCGAATAAAATAATATTTTTTTAAAAAAATATTAAAAAAATGATTTGGTAATAGTAATAGGAAAGGAATTGACGTGAATTGAGAGAAGATACAAAAATGGAGGAGATGCACGTTTTTATTTGGAAAGCGATGAAAGCGGAAAGAAGAGAACCCCGAAAGGAAGATGCTTTGTCTCACTCCGCAGTTTAGTATTTAATTATTATTTATCACTCACTCCCTATTCCCTAATTCCCTAATTCCCCCCTTTCCCTAATTCCCCCTCTCCCAAATTCCAAACCCGATTCTCCATTTCCGCCATTAAAGCCTTTTCCGCCATTAAAGCTTAGCTTCCCTTCCTCTTCTCACCCATTTCCCTCTCATTTCTTCTGTCTATTCCATCCCACTCTTTTGCTCTGCAGAGCCCTTACTTCCCACCGCTTACGCCCAACACTCCCAATGTGTTTTCCTCCTCCCTCTTCCCCATAACCTTCTGTAATTCAGAAGAGACAGAGAGTGATGGGGTTAAATTTGGGTCTCACAAATGGCCTGTGATTTTCCCATGCCGGAGATTTGAGACTCCATAGCTTTTTCCGACTGAAACACCCTTGTCGTTCTTCTCCACAACCCCTCCAAATATGGCCGCAACGAAGACGGATGTCGCCGCCAGCGCCGTCGACGACCGTGTCTTGTCCACCGCTCAGCAGATCGTCAAGAGCCTCAATACTCCTAAGGAGGTTCGTGAGGACATGCTCTTGATACTCTCCAGTTTTGATAATCGACTTTCCAGTATCAGTAGTTTGATCAACAGTGACGACTCGAAAACCAAGAACGACAGGTTGGACGCCGCGGAGAAGGTGATTCTTCGTTGGGATCCTAATTTCGATGTGTCGAGACGGTCGCTTAATTGGGAGGACTCGCCGGACGAGGCGGCTGAGTATTTATCGGCGGTGGATGATATACTCCGGCTAGTAGAAGACCTTTCAATTGGGTCCGAGTCGACTGAGTTCGTAGACCGGGCCGAAAACGCGATCCAAATGGCGATGTGTCGGCTCGAGAGCGAATTCCGCCATATCCTGATCCAGAGCACAGTCCCTCTCGACGCCGAGCGGCTCTACGGCTCGATCCGAAGAGTTCACCTCTCGTTTGCGTCCAATTACAGTGAAATTGACGATGAATTCGAGAACTTCAGCGAGGACAGTCGCAGTTCGGGGCGATTCCATGAGCGAGGTGGGACAATTGGAGAAGATTCTTGGGTTGATTTAATCCATCCTGATGCGGCTGTTGATCTATCGGAGATTGCGGACCGTATGATTCGTTCCGGCTACGAAAAGGAATGTGTTCAAGTCTACAGCACGGTTCGTCGCGATGCTTTGGACGAGTGCTTGGCGATTCTTGGCGTCGAACGGCTCAGCATTGAGGAGGTTCAGAAAAGTGACTGGAAATTTTTGGACGATAAGATGAAGAAATGGATTCAGGCCGTAAAAGTTACTGTCCGGGTGATTTTGGTCGGTGAGAAGAGGCTGTGTGATCAGATCTTTAATGGCGCCCATGAATCCAAGGAGATTTGCTTTAACGAAACAGCCAAAGGGTGTGTAATGCAGCTGTTGAATTTCGGTGAGGCAGTGGCTATTGGGAAGAGGTCACCGGAGAAGCTGTTTCGAATCTTAGATATGTATGATGCTTTGGCGGGTGTTTTGCCCGACTTGGAAGCCATGGTTTTCGATGAGTTTCTGATTAGTGAAGCGCATGAAGTGTTGTCTGGACTGGGAGAAGCAGCCACAGGGACATTTGCAGAGTTTGAGAAAGCCATCGAAAGCGAAAATTCGAAGAAAGCGATGCAAAACGCCGAGATTCACCCGCTTATTCGATATGTAATGAATTATGTGAGATTGCTGGTTGATTACAGTAAGACAATGAACTCTCTTCTGGAAGACGAGGAACGCAGTGTGAACGACAATGACGATGATCTGCAGCTGGAAAGCACGTCGCCTTTAGCTCGTAGATTGTTGATGTTGTTATCGTCTTTGGAATCCAATCTTGTGGATAAATCAAAACTTTACGAGGATGTTGGGATGCAGTTCATATTTCTAATGAACAACATACTGTATATAGTGAAAAAAGTGAAAGATTGTGAGCTTGCCCAGCTGCTGGGCAGTAACTGGCTTCGCAGGCATAGCGGCCAAATTCGCCAATATGAAACGAGTTACCTTAGAGCCTCTTGGAGCAAGGTCTTGTGTTGCTTAAAGGATGAAGGCATTGGTGGGAGCACGAGCAATGCTGCCTCCAAGACGGCTTTGAAGGAAAAGTTCAAGAACTTCAATGCTGGGTTTGAGGAGATATGCAGGGCTCAGACGTCTTGGAAGGTATCGGATGCTCAACTGCGCGATGAGCTGATAATATCCGTTTCGGAGAAGGTGATCCCGGCGTATCGCTCCTTCTTGGGAAGGTTTAGAAATCAATTAGAGAGCGGAAGGCATTCTGGGAAGTACATAAAGTACACGCCCGAAGACTTGGAGAACTCTCTATCGGATTTGTTTGAAGGATCACCTGCAGTTTCACATCACTTGCGAAGAAAGGGTACTTGAAACTCTTTCATGCTCTGAGCTATTATTCATCCTTTTTTTCCTAATGTTATAAGACACATGATATTGTCATGCTTATGATCTTACTTACAAAAGTTCATACACTGTATATTACAATCACCAATGTTGTATACATTAGATTCTGTATCTTAATAATTTGAGGTCGAGTGATATTGTGGACATAACTTAAGGCCGCCAACCCCGACCCAACCACCACTACTGAAAGTCTTATTAGTCTGTGTACTACTACAAAGAAGAAGCAAGAGTCAAACCTGAATAGAGGCTAATCTAAACAAACAACTTTGTGCATAGCTTTGTTTGTGTTGCTTGAAATGGCGAGTTCCTGGCATTCCTATTGCTTGTGATGGGGCTTTGATTATAACCCAACAACAGTCAAAATTCCCCACTTCCATCAAGTTTAGGGAACACGTGAGTGCTTTCAGTTGCACACAGCTAGCTAACAACGCAAATCATTTGGTTAGATGAAGCATCAGCTCAATTATTGTTCAATGACAGCTTTGGATAGTCCCATCATTTGATTTTGGAAGCTCAATTACCTCATGTTTCTTTCAGCGTACCTCCCATTACTCTTGACCTTGATTGATCGCGATATCTCTTTTGCTTCTCATTTTTATGTTCAAATTCCACTTCTCCACTTTTATTCAAACTTGTTATAGATGGACCCAAAACAGCCGAGTGTGGCTATATTCTATATTTATAATAGATCAAACTCGCAACAAGCTTGGAGATTACGCCAAACATAAATTTACACAAAATGTGGCAAACCCAGAAGATAACTAATTACAGGTAAACTTGCCTATATTACAATATGCACGTTCAATCCATCCACCAAACCACTCAAGATCAAGGACAGAGAACACACACAACAGAAAACTAAATGAAGAGGGCCAAAGACTTGTACTGACCACATCATCGTGCTCGATACTGTATCGCTTTCAAACCCGACTGTCCTGAGGCAATGGCAGAACACCATCGAAGAAATCGCCAAAGTAGCCGTGGGGTTCGTGGACTAACCTCGAGATTATGTCTCTAAGAGTGATAACTCCTTGCAGATTACCATCGCTGTTAACTACATACACGCGGTGAATCTTCTTGGAGTCGAGCATCAAAATCAGATGCTTTATTGTGTCGTCCTTCTTGCACGTAATCATGTTCGTCAGCATTGGAGAGACCTGGTCGTGCTTCTCTAAGTAGCTTCTAACTGCTGTCAGAAAGTTTTTCGCTGTTATCGATCTGTCAGACATGAACAAGATCACCATGTCAATCAATGATAAACATATGCACAAGATAACTCTAGTTCCTACAAGTGGTGACAACAACAACTGTGAATTAGATACCAAGTTTTATGATTCCAAGTCGTTTCTATTTCATTTTTTTCTTAACCAAAAATGTAAAACTTTGCCTGCGAATCAACAAAGGCCGAACAATATCAAAATATTGGTCAAACACCTGTAATCGTGGTAGATTTCTGGTGCAGTGAGCAAGAAATGGATATCTCTTAAGCTAATATTGCCCATTGCCTTGTTTCCACCCCTTTCAATAACAGGGACACCTCCAACCCTCTTCTTCCTCATAAGTTTGAATGCTTGTAGAACGGGCTCATCCTCGTACACCTGCGTTTAAAGGAGGAAGACATAAAAGAAAGATAAATAACAAACAGATTTTTCTCAAATGAATAAAAACGTTCTCTAAGTTTCTTATGAATATCCAAAACTAGACCTTGACAATAGAAGCGGGCGACATCATGGGAAGACCGAGCTCCGAGAGAGTCTTTGTTCCCCAACGTTCAAACCATTGAAGCCCTGCACATTCTGCTAACATGTGAATAACAGCAGATTGTGAGATGATGTTTTCAATCTTTCCCACCCCCAAGTCCACCACTGGTACACTCTTCATTTTGTACTTTGATAACAATAAGAGCATGGTCAAGAATGAGTTCGTCGTCTGCAAAGCAAGAAACGGGGCCCAACGGAAAGATCCCGAGATGTCTCGCACCTGTACATTCAGAAGATTTGATGAAACATCAAACAAAGCCACATTCAT